TAATTGTACCAGCCTCCACCAATTCCTCTGGCAGCTCATTCCATACACACACCACCATCTGCGTGAAAAAGTTGCCCCTTAGGTCCCTTTTAAATCATTCCCTCAACTTAAACCTATGATCTTTAATTTTTGACTCCCTCATCCCAGGTAAAAGACCTTGTCTATTTACCCTATCCTGCCCGTCATGATTTTATAAACCTCTATAAGTTCACCCCTCAGCCTGAAACGCTCCAGGGGAAATAGCCCCAGCCTATTCAGTCTCTTCCTATAGACCTCCAACCCCGGCAACATCCTCGTAAATATTTTCTGAATCCTTTCAAGTTTCACAACATCCTTCCTATAGCAGACCAGAATTGCATGCAGTCTTCCAAAAGTGGCCTAACCAATGTCCTGTACAGCCGCAACATGATCTCTCACCTCCTATACTCAATGCACTGTCCAATAAAAGCAATGTCCTGGATGATATCAAGCTTCTTGAGTGTTTGTTGGGCTGCACCCATTCAGGTAAGTGGGGAGTATTCCATCACATACTGCCTTATGCCTTGTAGATGGCGGACAGGCTTTGGAGGTGGGGGGAGGGGGGCGGGATGGGGGGGGTTGAGGGGAGGGGTTGTGCAGGAGCTGAGTTACTAGCTGCAGTATTTCTTGCATCTGACCTGCTTTTGTAGCCACTGTGTTTATGTGGTGTGTCCAGTTGAGTTTCTCAACAAAGGCAATCCCATGATGTTGATAGTGGGGTATGATGGTAACCCAAAAACAGCATTGAATGTCAAGAAGCAGTGGTTAGTTGGTGTCTTATTGATGATGCATAGATTGGCATATGTGTGGTGTGAATGTCACTTGCCATTTGTTAGCTCAAGCCTGGATATTGACTAGATCTTGCTGCATTTGGAACTGAACTGCTCTAGTATCTGAAGAGTCATGAATGGTGTATGTAATTATGTAATCAATGGCAAACAAATCCAATTCTGATCTTATGAAGAAGGGAGGGTCATTGATGAAGCAGCTGAAGATGTTTGGGTTTAGGGTACTACCTTGAGGATCTCTGCACTGATGTCCCAGAGCTGAGATGACTGACTTCCAACATCCACAACCATCTTCCTATGTGCCAGGCATGACTCAAAGCAGCAGAAAGTTTGCTTCCTGATATCCATCGATTCCAATCGTGCTAAGCTTCCTTGATGCCACACTCTATCACATACCACACTTTGCTGATGATCGAAAGTAGACTGATGGAGCAGTAATTGGCCAGGTGAAGATATCAAGATGTGTAAACGTAAACACAAGATTTTGTTGATGAAATGTCAAATTCATAAGTATTATTTTCTTAAGGGGCAGTGATACTTATTCTGCGCAAGATATTTTTTTCTGAAACTTTATAAAGTGAAAGTGTTATGAATGTACATTTTGTTCCTAACTAATTTGATGCAAGCTCATAATAATGTCCACAAATCAGAAAGCCAACTCACGCATTAGTTGGAGTTCAATACCACTGCTGTATACTGTTATAACATTATTTACATAATAAACCATCCCTAGGAGCTTTACATACAGAGTTGTCAGTATGGGGAAATGGTGGTAAAGGAAAGATCAAACACAGAGCAGAGATTCAAAGTACAGTAAAATAAGGTGACTCATAATCAGTAACAAAGTAGATTTTAAGGAGCTTTCTGAAGGTTGAAGATGGAAGAAATTTAGTTAAAGAATTTCTAATAAATGGAGCTGGTGGAAATAGCAGCAGCAGAAGCAACACACTGTAGAACAGAGGCAGAAGGGTGAAGGTTGTGACCCATGACAATGGAAATAAGGATTCTAAAAGCAGCCTGCTAGATTTGCACAAAAATGATGGAGGTCAGGCGCTGGGGTATAAGAGAACTAAAGGAGAGACTAAACACAATGACTTCAAGTTTTCCAATGTTGTATCAGAAAAATCCCAAGAGGACAAATGCTTGTGCAGCTCGGCAACAGTCATGAAATCAACGTGGGAAGGAACTGGGGCTAAATTTTACAAGCGGTTTCAGTATGAGGTGTAAAGCATATCCTCTGGTCTCACTAGTTGGCAGCAAACTCTGCTTAGCCATTTTAACACGGACACTTTCCAATTGGTGGCCAGTGGGTCAGCTGTCCAGTTAAGATTGGCAGTAGGCTCTTGATGCTGGCTCAATGAGAATGACCAACATCTCTGAAGCATCATTAAGGCCAGTGGGAAAGGTGCTTGCTGCTGAGGATTGCAGACTCATCTAAGCAGTTAAAATCTTTGAAAGATCAAAAGCCAAGAACATCCCTCCAAGAAAGTCATTGGGTTCATGGGTGCAGTCCACCCTGTCCCATGGAGACCCATCCTCACCAACTTCCGCCTCCGTGACCAGGCTCTCACTGACAAGCCATCCCTGCCTCCCTACATGGTAGAGGTTGACTCATACTCAAAGAAGATGGTACCAAGATGCAGAATGGAAACATGGATTAGGAGGGATACAACCTTTGAACTTTGGAGCACGTGAGAGCTCACCTTTTCAGCCATGGGAGCAGCAAAGCTGAAGGCTAAAATAGGATAGGATGGAAAGAAACAAACTATGGGTGGGCGATGCCTGAGGGGAAAGGCAGTGAAAGAGTTTGGGCTGACCAACTATTTTGCATGTAAAATGAAAAAAAAAGGTGCAGGGGATCACATTTGTGCAGGTTGTCATAGCTTTGCACCCAACAACAGTGAAGGAACTGCAACAATATTCCAGGTCAAGTGAGGCTGAGAGGGATATTTTCAGCTGGATGTGCAACCCTCACCTTTCTAGGTGGTGGAGGCTATGGATGTGGAAAGTGCTTGTAAAGGAGTTATGATGATTTGTTGCAGGACATCTTGTAGAAAGCATATACTTCTGTCAGTTTATTGGGAATGAATGTTAAAGGTGTTAGATGGAGTGCCAATCAATCAGGATGCTTTATGCTGGACGATTTTGAACTTCTTGAGTGTTGCTGGAGCTGGACTCATCCTGGCAAGTCGAGAAGTTTTCCATTACACTCATGACTTGTGCCCTGCAGATGGTAGACAGATACTGAGGTGACAATTGGTGAGAAACCTGCTATAGAATTCCTAGTCTTTTGTAGCCACACTGTTTATGTGGTTGGTCCCATTCAGTTTCTTGTCAATGGTAACCCCAGAATGTTGACAGTGAGGAATTCAGTGATGGGAAATGCCAATGAGTGTCAAGGGAAGATGGCTAGATACTCTGATTTTGGAGATAGTCATTGCCTGACAGTTATGTGGTGCAAATGTAACTTGCCACTTAACAGCCCAAGTCTGGATGTTGTCCATATGGACACGGGATGCTTCTGTATCTGAGGAGCTACAAATAATGCTGAACATTATGTGATAATTTGTGAACATCCCCGCTTCTCACATTGTAATGGAAAAATGGCATTGATTTCTACATTTTTGGGGAGAAACTGAGCCATTAAATGTCCCCCTTGGAACCAGCAGCCTTGGTAGTAGAGAATCATTAGGGACCTAATTCTCTTAGAGTTCCGAGAAATCAGGTTAGCGGGGGTTCTGCCAGATTTGCACACTGATGTTGTCCCTGCCATGCCATCATGAATGGATCAAAAATAAAGCAGCCACAAGCAGTAAATTGAATGAGGTAGTTTCTGGTAGTGAAGGGGAATTTGATGTTTTCATGGCCCTCTTAACTGACTTTTTGAGTAGTAGGCAGGGTTTCACCAGACAGTACAAGAGACAAGAAGCCAATGGATAACAACACTGTCTTATCAAGAAGGGTCACAATTGAAGTGAAGGAAATCGTTAAAATCACCTTGACATAAATACTTAGATTACAAGGTGTAGAGCTGGATGAACACAGCAGGCCAAGCAGCATCAGAGGAGCAGGAAGGCTGACGTTTCGGGCCTAGACCCTTCTTCATTTTCTGAAGAAG